AGATGTTTAGGTGGCTTCATCAGAATCCTTTAAACATCTTTATTAATATATATAGATTTATTAAAACGTGTAAATCTATATATATAAAAAGTTTGGTTCAAGAATTGCGGTGAGGACATGTGGCATCCAAATCATCATTCATGTCGCAACATCCTTAATTCTTATTGGTCAATCAATTTTGACCGTAGCTACATACATTGAAATGGTCATTGATGATAAATATAAAAAGTTTGGTTCAAGGATTGCGGTGAGGACATGTGGCATCCAAATCATCATTCATGTCGCAACATCCTTAATTCTTATTGGTCAATCAATTTTGACCGTAGCTACATACATTGAAATGGTCATTGATGATAATTTGTAACGTCAAACGACCACGTATAGAGTCAAGTTCATCCATATGCCTCTTCTTTATAACGCATATTCTTGCCTAATTGATTCCTTATGATATTTTGTATAAATCATTAGTGCCGTCATTATTCAAAATGAAAAAGAAACGTTCATCATCCCTTTAATAACCATATTTAATATTTTTTCTATTTAATTCAAAATTATTATATATTTGTTTTATATATCATTTATTCTTAATATGCGCTTTTTGCATACAGTATTTGAGTTTTCAGTTTGTCATTCTATTTGTCATTCTTGAACCAACTTTTACCACAGGTTTGTCAATATGTTTCCCTCTATTTTTCGATGTTTGTTAATGACGTTGACTGAGTTGGTTCAATGGATAGGAATTAAGCTGCAGTGGATAAATCATTCCGACTGTATTCGACGATTTTCGACTTCACTATTCAGAATTTGAAGTCCTTGGAGACGAACCATGACAAAGAAATATGTGTGGCACGTGAGTTCTTCATTTGACCTTTTTTTTTAAAATTTTGTTGTTTGGTTATTTGGTTGCAAGAAAATCATGTTTTGAGAAAAATTATTGTTTTTTGGGTTTTTCATTTCCAGAGATATTGAATAATAAATTTTGGATTTTTTTATATTAATGAATAATAAAAAATTACACGTTATATGAATGTGTATCTATGTACATATAAATGTATAACTATATGTGTACATAAATGTATTTGTGTGTAAAACTATATATATGTGTATATATATGCGTATATCTATATATGTTTTCTGTATATGAATGTATTCGTATGTACGTGGACACTACAAATATGCATATATGAGTATAAATTTTTATTTTCAACTTTTGTAATTTGAATGTGTATATGTGTATATGTAGATGTATTTGTGTGTATAACTATATATATATATATGTGTGTATATGTATTATATATGTATTTTATAAGTTTTCTCTATATATGGATGTATTTAGATATACATCCCATATCTTTATATTTTGATTTCTAATATGCATATATGGGTATACATTTTTATTTTAAACTTTTGTAATTTGAATGTTTATATATGTATATATAGATATATTTGTGTGCATAACTATATACATGTGTGTATATGTATTGTATATGTATTTTGTAAATTATGTCTGTATATGGATGTATTTATATATACATGCCACATCTATAAATTTTAAATTCTAATATATGTTTTCCCGGACAAAATTAATAAATAGTGTCACAATTTATAATCTAACATCTCTTCATAAATTCGTCTGAAAATAATATTATTCTCCCATACTTCTATGACAAATTTACAAAGTTTGTATTATTATAAATACACAATGATGTGTGTGTATGTATGTATATTTGTATAACTATGTATGTTTTATGTATATGAACGTATTCGTATATCCATATATATTTTTATTTTATACTTATGTGTATAAGTGTATATGTGTTTATATTTGTATATGTGTAAATGATGTATATATGTATGCATTACGTAAGTTTTGTGGGTATATAAACATATTTATGTGTACATATATATATACACATGCATATATATGTATATCTATTCATTTTTTTCAGTATATGCGTATGTAGGTAAGTATGCATATACGTATTATTTCTTCTTTTTTTAATTGTTCCACGTGGTATATGTAGTAAAAATACAATAACTTATTAGCTACGCCAATATGAATCGACGATTGTTAATGCCGATTAATGCCGTGTTGAACATGGTATCCAATTTCAAGATCCGCTCACCAATATCTGTATATTTTGAATTTTACTGCAGGTTTATGTGGTAAAATTAATAATTCATGTAACAATTTAAAATATTTATATAATTTCATTTGGAAATAAATATACAGATTTTATTATTATTATTAAAACAAGTGAATGATGATAAGTATACTATTTTATACTTGTGTATATATGTGTATATGTGTTTATATTTGTATATGTGTAAATGATGTATATATGTATGCATTATGTAAGTTTGTTGTGTATATAAATATATTTATGTGTACATATATATATATACATGCATATAATTGGTAAAATTAATAATACATGTAACAATTTAAAATATTTATATAATTTCATTTTGAAATAAATATACAGATTTTATTATTATTATTAAAACAAATGAATGATGATAAGTATACTATTTAATTCAACCAATTCTACATCTCATTTATTTAACAATTAATAATGATTGTATTATTAATACTATTATATGCATATATGCATATGGGTATATATGTATATCTTTTTATTTTTTTTAATATAATGTGTATGTGTTTATGTATATATGTATGACGTCGTATCAACTTTTATTACAAAACTTTTAATTAAAATATTACTGTCAACTTTGCAGTAGATGAGGGCGAAACTCTTCATTTAAATGTTATTGGAATAATTAGTCAATATAGACATAGTGTTGGGCGACTCAACCAAGCAAAGTTGGTAAAAGGTAAATATATATTTATATATTTATGATCTTACTTGAATATATATATATATATATATGATATGTTGTTTTGAAAAGACTTTTTAAATTAAAAAATATTTAAATCAAATAAATTAATTTGTTGTAGGTTGCATGTTTTCGCCAACGATTAGTTTGAAAATGGAATTACAAAACTTAGAATTATGCTATATTGTAACTAAGAGAAGCGTGTATGCAAACCACTATATCATATTAAGTAAATACTATAATTTTATATATCCAAGGATATTATATTTGTGATAAAATATTTATATCTATATTAGACATAATATTTTATATTTTATCGGTGACGACATAATAGTAATTTTGACGTTTGATTTATCAATTAATTTATTTTAAAATTTTTCTCTCTGTATTTTTATATTCTTATCTATATCTTCATAATGTATTCTATAAATTGATTCAAAAAATATTTTTTTTAAATAAAATACATATATATCATTTATTCCAAAACATTATTATTATTATTATTATTATTATTATTATTATTATTATTATTATTATTATTATTATTATTATTATTATTATTATTATTATTATTATTATTATTATTATTATTATTATTATTATTATTATTATTATTATTATTATTATTATTATT